TGATTTTAACTGTGAAAAATCTCAAATTTACCAACTCAATTATAATGCAGTTACAAACTTTTATGTATCAGTAATCCTGTAGTAAAATATTCTGTCCATTTAAAAGGAAATCATTTTAAACACCATAATTTCCAGATTTAATTATAGTTAGCGAATATTATTAAATACTTTAGATGAAAACAAACAAACGGAAGTCTCCATTATTTATTAACATCACTTTTTGTGGATTAATTTTAATACGATGACTAGGATAATTCACTAGTTAGTTTAATAAATCTTATTGAGGTCTCCAAACTTTGGCTAGAAGATATAGATTTAGCAGAAAATTAATCTAGAACAACTTATCACTGCTAACTAACTGATATTTTGTTACCGTTAATAAAAAAGCCATAAATTAGTATAAAGGGCCTTTGATAAGGAACGAATGTATTATTTCTATACTCAAACGGCAAATTTTAAGATACTTAGATCAAAAAATATATTTGATGGGGACTCCATGGACTAAAGTATACGTGAACGTCATATTATCACGCTTGTTGTTCTCATATCTTTTCCAATGCAGTTTCCGCTTATTTAAAATGATGATGGGTTTTAACTAACCCTGGAAGACGTCAACATCTGGGGTTAGCATGGGATACAGTGACATCTAGGATGCAGCTGGATGATCTAGACTTCGCAGATGATCTAGCTCTTTTGTTGCACACACAACAGCAAATACAGGAGAAGAAGACCAGTGTAGCAACAGCCTCGGCAGCAGTAGGGCTCAACAAGATTCTCCGATACAACACAGCATGCGCCAATCCAATCACAATTGACGGAGAAGATTTGGAAGATGTAAACTCCTTTACATATCTGGGCAGCATCATTGATGAACATGGTGGGTCTGATGCAGATGTGAAGGTGCGGATTGGCAAAACAAGAGCAGCATATTTACAACTAAGAAACGTCTGGAACTCAAAGCAAATATCAACAAACACCAAGGTCAGGATTTTCAATACAAATGTCAAGACAGTTCTACTGTATGGGGCGGAAACCTGGAGAACTACGAAAGCAATCATCTAGAAGTCACAAGTGTTTATTAACAGTTGTCTACGCAAAATACTTCAGATCCGTTGGTCGGACACTATTAGCAACAACGTACTGTGGGAGATAACAAACCAGATCCCAGTGGAGGAGGAAATCAGGAAGAAGTGCTGCAAGTGGATAGGACACACATTGAGGAAAGCACCCAATTGCGTCACAAGACAAGCCCTCACATGGAATCCTCATGGCCAAAGGAGGAGAGCAAGACCAAAGTATACATTACACCGAGAAATGGAAATAGACATGAAAAAGATGAACAAGAATTGGATGGAACTAGAAAGGAAGGCCCAGGACAGAGTGGGTTGGAGAATGCTGGTCGACGGCCTATGATCCATTGGGAGTAACGGGCTTAAGTAAGTAAGTAAGTAAGTAAGTAAGTAAGTAAGTAAGTAAGTAAGTAAGTAAGTAAGTAAGTAAGTAAGTAAGTAAGTAAGTAAGTAAGTAAATAGCACGTCAGTACTGCTCCAACCATTTTATTTCGTCTCATGAATTTGTTGAGAATGTGAGCTTGAATGAGTAAACAATATGTTCAAAGTGATATGAGAAACAATTTTCATAGATTATAAAATCTGAAAAAAATAATTATGAACTGAATAAACTGAGTAAAATAATCAATAAACAATACACATGAAAATCTTTACCTGACATCATACTAGTGTATTTCATTAATGTTTTCATTTTTAGTTCAATTTAATCAACTATTGTTATTCAATTCATAAAAATATGATTCCAATCTAGTTGCGAATCCAATCTCTACTTTTTTATTACTCCAGTTTAACAGAATAAATGTAGACATGATGCTGATTCAAATGACAACGCTTTTTTAAAAAGATGTTTGAAATAAATCGCCCAGAAAAGTAAAATACAAATTCGCCAAATGATAACATTCCATAACTATGTTAAACTTTAAATAATTTAATTGTTCACTTGGAATATTTGATTTTGTTCTGGTGAAACGAATGTTAAAGTTTGCGTTTTCCATGAATAATAACATTTGAGCATATGTAAATTTAATTTCTTTGATCGATAATTTTATTGAGAAAACATGAATATTGAATAGGAACTTTTTCAGAGGAAGGTAAATTTTTCAAAGGGAATTATTCTCATCATTAGAATTTCCACGACGTGAAGTATAAACACCAAGATTGATCCAAGTGAAGATTTATTAATCCTTAAACATGACAACAAACCTAAACAAAAACACACTCGTCATATATTGATTATACATCCATTTCGATTTTTAATTAGAAGTAAATCATATAGAGGAAAACTACTCAGAGTTATAATTAATCACACTCTGCATATCATAGTGAGTATAGTTTCCGTCAATTTTATACAAGTATATCGTATATTGACTTGAATAAACATCACACTCTAATAGATAAATGTTATACCAAATGAAATACCATACTGGAAAACGAAACCGAATGCTACATTGAGTAATTATCACATTATATTAAAAGGGAAGTAATGTTGAATAACCATCACAATGAGTAAAATAATGTAATTTGACTTTCTCATCACATCATATCAATTACAATATTGGGGAGCACTATTTTGAAAAAACCTTATAACTGTGGTAATTTCTGACATATTTTACCTTTTCATCACCATATAGATTCCATTTCCTCTAGTTCACAAAATAGTAAATTTGGGTATGATTGAATCACAATTTCTTCAAGGGTATATTATCTTAAAGTTGAAGTTTTTAGTGTTCATAGTGTTATTAACACAATGTTCATTCATTAGTGTCTGAAGTACACTGAGGTGGTATTTGGAGGTAATTGACATGAAACGCTGGACCTAAATTTCATGTTGTTTGGCACTCATCAGTAAGGTATACCCATGATGTTGAGGGGACTGATGCTTCCTGGTGGATTCCATCCCATATCACCCACCTTCACAATCAGGTACGTTACCATTGAGCTATTTATGCAGTCAATCTTATGTAGGACTGAGATTTAGTTACAACTGATTGATCACTGAGTAGTAACTAATGTCATGTGAGTCAGGTCCTTTTTAGTGTTGATCGAAATTCTATCAATCAAGTTGCAATCTTACTACTGGTCTAAATGACTCGATATTCCATTTATTATTCTGAGATGTAAGGTATCAACTGGTAGTACTTGCGGCTTGACTGGCTCAGTGATAACAACTCTGATTGTGAATATGTGTGGTATAGGATTGAATCCATCAGAAAGCATCATTCTCCTCAAGATCAATCGTACACCTTGCTAACGAATGCCAAACAACACGAAACCTAGGTCTAGAATATCCTGTCGACTACCTCAAACCACAACCTCACATCTATGCATAACAAATGGCATATTAAGTCATTAATACTATTTGTCAGATTGCAACTTGATCAATAGAATCCGATCAACATTAAAAAGGACTTATGTTACATGACATTTATCAATACTTAGTAACTGGTTAATCATAAATGAGGTGCTTCATTTTTGTACTTTATTTATTTTTTATAATTTTAAGTATGAATCACTTAAAGGCTGAATAATATTTCTTATACAATTCCTAATAGACATTTTCAGACATAATCAATCATATGACGTAATTCATTCATGAACGTCTATTCACATAATGATATGAGAAATTCCAGATTTAAACGTTCTTAAGAAAATTATTACCGTTTTATTGTCTAAGAGTCATAGGCTCTATTATAATTATGTTGGTGCTTACATTTTCGTGACTGAAGTAATCACTTACATAATTATATTTTATTTTTCATTAATTTTTTTTGTGGTGGTTTTTTGGTCAAAGCCACTTTTTATAATGAATGAATATTAGAAAATAATTAATCCAATCGCATGTTTACTTCTATCTCAACTTTACCTACAGGCTATAAATTTAAATTAAACTAATATTTCACTCATATGAAGGATATAAAACTAATAGACTGAATAGCCGAAATGCAGATATCCATGATATTAATTAATTAACTGTAGCATGTATATGAATAAGTAGTTGAGAATTCATTTATATCAGAAAGGGGATTTTGTGGATATTATAGTAATTTGATAGTTGAATTCATGGGCCAATTAATGTTAGACCACTATAGAGAACCTGGAAGCACTGAACGGCCATTTCGTCTTAGTGTGGGACTCTTCAACTATGCACCTCCAAGATACTGCCCACGGGATTAGAACCCAAGACTTGTCGGTCTCGCGTGCGAACGCTTAACCCCTAGACAACTGATTGGACAGTCAGTGGTGTTAATGTCTAACTTTTACCAATCCACGAAATTGCGCCACTGTCCATTCATTTATATCCTAAATTTATTATTTCTGCACTATAGTGTAGTAAGTTATGGAGATACAATTATAGCCCTAATTATTGTGACGAATCAGTGTTATCATGAATTAATACGAATAGTAGAAACTGTCAACAAATGGACTGTATTCTAGACTACATTCTATCTTGCTTACTAATTACAATTCAAAAATAATAGCTTGAGTGATTCAACAATAAAACAACTTCCTAAAATTATCATTTTGAAAATATCTACAAGGCCAGTTATACGTTATCATTGTTTTACCTAGATTTCTTTAGATCAGTTTTTTAAAACGGAAGATATAAACATTGTTTTACAACTAAAAATGCTTCACCATGGTAACCCAATAGTTCGGATATGTAAAGTGTAAACAAACAATGAGTCTCATTATTATTACTTTTAAAAAAAGTAATAAGGATTGAGGTCTTTAGATTTTGATTCCTTTCATTCATGGACAGGTTTTAAGTACCACTCATCTTGTTCACTTTTTATAGATGCGATTAAAACAAGTTGTTATGCTCCAGGAGACATCCTAAATTGAAACAGATTTAAAGTTTTTCATTGGTTGAATAAAAAGCACCAATCAAAAGTTAGGAACGAATAAATTCCATTTTTAAAACTTATTCACTACAGCATAAACATTTTAAATAAAACGTGTTAAGTTCTTTTGGTACACGAAACAACAATCTAAACAAAAACTAAGAAATTTAGTTTTACACAACACAGCAAATAATATCAAATAGAAATCAGTGGTCCAAACAGCCAATTCACATATCGATATGAAAGCCTTCATTGAACGGTAAGTTAAGTAGATTATTATGATTTTTATAAAATCTGAACCAGAAATACACACTAGATTAAATATGTACCAGGAAGAGTAACCAATTAGTTAGTATTTATGGAAAGGTTGATCACATCATCCGTTAATTATTGATAATAAACTGAATAACTAAAATAGTAGACATTTCAGCAGTAGCTCATTTGATTGCTGTGCTGTCTTATCACCAATATCTTATGCTATGCCTTACATGGTTTTGGACATATATTATAGAAACCCATAATTATTAGTCACTTCTTTCTAACTTTGCCTTTTGTGTACAACGTTTCTGATGGACTAAATGCTTATTTATCAAGCCGAGTTTTCTTTATCACCGGGGTTTTGTTATAGTTGATCAAAATCAGTATTATGATCTGTTGGTGATGTCGCAATAACAATTACAGTGTCTTTTTATACCTCAGCACTACTGTGATATAATAATAGCAGTTAAGTGACAACAATTCTTATTAATCACTTTGTCTTACATATAATTGCCATGATGTTCACATATTCAATTGTCCTTGCTTAAGACACGAAAGTTCGAGCTTACATGTTTATTGTTGCGTGGGTTTTTAACATTTAAAGTGTACTGGATATAAGGGATTCGTCTACACGGTTACATCAGAATTAATAAAATGCTTCTTAAATCATTCTTCTTTCTTACCTCAACAATGTTATAGGAATGTCTATAGATGTAAGCTGTTGTAATTTAAATATCTTTCAGTTTGTATTGTTTTTCATGAGCATAAAACAATGGCTAAAGCATATACTTTTGGTAGAAAACAAATAAGCTTTATCAATAATAATAATAATAATAATAATAATAATAATAATAATTTACTGAATTAAGTAGAATCGATAATAACTTACTTGCCAAAAAATACGGATAAAATTCTGGTACACTATGAGAAGTAATCTATGACAATCTAATTATTGATTATGCAGTACACAGTTGATGCATCAATAAGAACACACATTATGCTGTATTGAGTCTGTGTTACTAAGTGTTTAAGGTATTTTAAAATCAGTGAGGCGTAATGGACCACTACTGAATGCGTATAACTTGTAAAGTTTTTTCGCTCACATAATTTATTGAGACGGTTGATATATGCAAACTAATTGTTTACAAATTAAGCACTGTATGACTAGCAACTTTTGTAACCAATGGTCAATATTGAAAATTACTGACAAATTACATATCCATGTCTTAGGAACATTTATGTGTTTTGAGATATTGTTCATCAATAAAAGTGGTCCTACAATTGAAATAACACTATCCGAAAAGTGCCATTACATTAGTCTAAAATCAATGAACAGTTCACTTGCTGATTAAATCAGAGTCACTAATAAAAATCAATGTACTATTATAATATTCCAATGAGTAGGAAAATTGTGTTCCTGGCGTTTCGTAACTTGATGCAAGGCACCTCTTCAGAGTAAATAAGTAAATAAAAAAATTTATTTATTGTTAACTCTCTACCCAATACCCAGTTTATTTCAAACTATCGTAGTTACTAATAGTTTTACTCTCGTTTCACAACAGACATATCACAACATTTAAGTTAGTCTCAAACGTTTCATTAAAATCATCCATCTAGTAATCTGACATGAGTATATTTTATAAGACATAATCGTCAAATGTTTTGTATAAGGTTTTTAGAAAATGAAGGGAATCAGTAGAAATCTCTATTCTGTTTTAAATGTACACTAACAAAGATACATCGTAGTCTTAAATAACATAGAGGCGCTATATATTTTATTCAACGAATCACTCAGTAAATTTGAAAAGATTATTATTACTGATTATTATGATTAATTCAATATTAAATTTTGGTACAATATAGAATTCTCAGCATAAGATATTAAAACAAAATCTTTTATAAAAACAAAAAGGCAACAACAAAAAAAGGAAGGAAAAAGATCTGAATCTGTACAACTTTCTAAATTAGAGACACTTTTCAGAACACAGGTTATTGACTACGTTAACTCGAACAACCTGTTCGTCACAGAGTATATTTGCTAGGTAAGGTATTATGAAACTTTTATACCTTATAATACCTTATTCCTGATTCACTGTCAAGAAAAAATTGTGTAGAAATCCAAAAAGTATATATTGAATGTAGTTATCAAACTTTATAAATGTTAATCTTATTGTAATTTAGGCAAATGTGTGCGAATAATATTACACCATACATTTACAGCATATAGTTAACAGGCAATCAGCTAACCTAAAAAAGTACTTTGGTATTTTATATTGTCTGAATAAATTTCAGTATGTTCTTATTGTGTTGATTGTTACGAGATATAAGTTTATAATTCTAGATCTAGGTTTTTCATCACTAACCACGTTGCCAAGGCTTGATTTCAGTTCTGAGGCAACTGATGCCCTCCGTAGTATGATAATTCAAGTCACCTTGTCATGTTTAGAGAAATTCTACTGATATGTGTCTTACTGTAGAGCTGAGATATTCAAGTTGGCTTTGTTCCATTGATTACTAGTCAATAAGATTTTTTCTTAATAGCAGATAGTATTACTGCAGAATCACGATAGTTGTTATCTATTGGTAATGGGTTGTCGGTTTCATACATAAAACATCGAATAGATTAAAATAACATTGATACTAGAATTGCTTTTACAATGATGTTAATACTTTCCTCTTCTTAATGAAATGTCTATTACTTAAAAACTACGAAAAAAATCATAAAATTTGCAAGGATACTCCACATTCTCTTCAATAAGATTTGGGATGAGGAACAAGTACCAACAGATTGGAAAGAAGGACTTCTGATCAAAATATCAAAGAAAGGCGATCTCAGCAACTGTGATAACTACAGGGGCATAACTCTACTCTAAATACCAGGAAACGTTTTCAGCAGAGTATTGTTAAACAGGATGAAGGACTGCGTAAACGCTCAACTTCGTGACCAACAAGCAGCATTCCGTAAGGATAGATCGTGTACAGACCAAATCGCAGCTCTACGGATCATTGAGAAACAATCAATTGAATGGAATTCATCACTCTACATCAACGTGATCGACTACGATAAAGCATTTGACAGCGTGGACAGAACAACATTGTGGAAACTTCTTCAACACAACGGCGTGCCTCAGAAGATAGTCAATATCATACAGAATCCATATGATGGATTAAACTGCAAAATCGTGCATGGAGGACAGTTGACAAAGTCGTTCGAAATAAAGACCGGTGTTAGGCAAGGTTGCTTACTCTCACCCTTTCTCTTTCTCCTGGTGATCAACTGGATCATGAAGACGTCAACATGTGAAGGGCAGCACGGGATACAATGGACATCTAGGATGCAGTTGGACGATCTAGACATCGCAGATGATCTGACCCTTCTATCCCAAACGCAACAACAAATGCAGGAGAAGACGAACAGTGTAGCAGTATCCTCAGCAGCAATAGGTCTCAATATACACAAAGGGAAGAGCAACGTTCTCCGATACAACACAGCATGCACCGATCCAATCACAATTGACGGAGAAGATTTGGAAGATGTAAACTCCTTTACATATTTGGACAGCATCATTGATGAACATGGTGGATCTGATGCAGATGTGAAGGCGCGGATCGGTAAAGCAAGAGCAGCATATTTACAACTGAGGAACATCTGGAACTCAAAGTAACTGTCAATTAACACCAAGGTCAGAATTTTCAATACAAATGTCAAGACAGTTCTACTGTATGGGGCATAAACCTGAAGGACTACGAAAGCCATCATCCAGAAAATTCAGGTGTTTATTAACAGTTATTTACGCAAAGTACTTCGAATCCGTTGGCCGGACACTATTAGCAACAACATACTGTGGGCGAGAACAAATCAGATCCCAGTGGAGGAGGAAATCAGGAAGAAACGCTGGAAGTGAATAGGACATACATTGAGGAAAGCACCGAACTGCGTCACAAGACAAGCCCTCACATGGAACCCTCATGGTCAAAGGAGAAGTGGAGGACCAAAGAACATATTACACCGAGTAATAGAGACAGATATGAGAAAAATGAACAGCAAATGGATGGAACTAGAAAGGAAGGCCCAGGACAGAGTGGGTTGGAGAATGCTGGTTGGCGGCCTATGATCCATTGGGAGTAACGGGCATAAAAAAAGATCATAAATTTAGTTCAGATTTAATAAAATCTCATATTAATCAAGCAAATAAGACACTTGTAATACGATAAATAATTTGTTGAACAAGATGAGTTTTGATATCTGATCACGAGGTTATTACTCAATATTTAATGATAATTATTGTTAAACGTTAGGTGCTCGCGCGCAAAACCAGTAGGTTCTTGGTTCGAATCTCGCAGGGGTCGAGGTCGTGGATGCTCACTGCTGAGGAGCCCCATACTAGGACGAAACGGCCGTCCAGTGCTTCCAGGTTTTCCATCATGGTCTAGCTTCAACTGACTCATGATCTTAACCATTGAAACGTTAATAGTCTATCTTCAAAAATGTGTTCGTGTAGTAGAATGAAAAGATAAAGTATAAATTTTGGACTAAATCAAAACTCGTTTTCTCATATTTACAATCATTTTGATAAGTATCATCAAAAGCAATAGAAAGTGATATTCGTGATTTATTGACTATGTTTTATTTTGATTTCATATATATATTCTAGCTAAATATTAGGGATAATTATATTTGGCTTCTCTAAGTAAAGAATATGGGATGAAATTATGCTTTGTTACAAGCAAAATTAAAATTAAAGATAAGAATATAACAATGAATTTAATAGAACTAGAAATAAAAAACTCCTATTACGTGAAAACAATAGATTGTATATCATAAAGTGGAAAATTTTGATTATTTTTAAAGATAAAAATACCATTTGAAAGAATTATCATGATGGTCATGTGAAGAACTAGTGGAAAAATTAAGAGCACTAAGCAGTTGCTCCACACTAGTTTGAAGGTTATCACCAGTTAACATCTAAGACCCTGATACGGAATTGAATCAGTGATAATCAGTGTTTTTTATATTGAGAACGAAACTTTCATAGAACTAAACCAGAGACATATATTGACAAACTCAACCTATCAGTGATAAAAGAAGATTCTTATTTAAAGTTGTCAGTGGAATCTAAATGGTTTCTTGGGTGATATTATTCCATGATTAAAATAATTGACATGAAGCAATTTCACTCAAAAAACTAAACGATTTATAAGTGACATACGAACTAAATAAAAAAACTCTTGGTGAAAATAATACAATGGACTGACGTTCTTACATATGTATTATTATAATAATATGACGGTATCTCAGAACAAATTTCCACTCGTGGATAGAAGCGTTCAGTAGTGATTAGCCAACATTCTGGCCCTCAATATAGTGCCATTAGGTAGGGAATTTCGTACGTTTAAGTATAAATTACATTAAACAAGAGAAATTCATATTAGAAAATGCTTAGATAAATTTTATTTTTGGTGAGGATAATTAATGACACAAATATAATCTACACTACTTAAAATACTTGAGTGTATTTTCAGTCTTTAAAAAAATCTTTCCAAACGATTCAGGATTAATTATATTTATTAAATTATTAATTTTATGACTGATTAGAAATTTCAACTGATTATTGTTTTTATTAAAAAAGCAATTTACTTATTTTTAGGAAAAATTCCAGCACTTAGTAACTGAATAATTTATTATCAGTATAGGATTTTGTGGAGACGTAGAATTTTCATAGTTTCAACTCATTAACTGTTCATAGATAGACTACCACTAAAAGCCATAAAGTATTGGAGAGCTATATATTTCATTGCCTGCAGTAGAAAACCGTTTCAAACCCTATGAGGTTAAACTCAGTTGGTTATGGCTTCTCAATATAACTCTTGTAATTCAGCCTTGAAGCTGTTCACTTGTGGACTGATTGAATTTGGACATTCACAGTACTGAGTCTCAACCTAGTGGTCTAGAGGTCAGACGTTAGCACGCAATACAAATGGTCCAGGGTTCGGTTCCTCACTGTGAGGCCGTGAATACGCACTACTGAAGAGTTCAATATTAAGATGAGACAGCCATGTAATGCTCTCAAATTTCTAATGGTGGTCTAACTAGAATCAGTTGGTAATTTACAACGACAGATAATTAATCGTTGGCCTAATTTATATGATCTATGAAGTATTTATTTTCATCGATAGCACTGAATGATGAGTGACAATGGGCGAAACAGTTCAACCCAGACGACTTCAAAATATTAAATTGTTCACTATTTGAACCATTAGAGATGAATTTATTTTTAAGTTCGAGGTAAACGGGGTTCACAAATATCTAAATAAGACTGAGTGTAATTAGAATTGCACAGAGCAAGAAAGTTGGAAAACGTTTGTAATGGACGAAAACACTGGTGAAGATAATCAATGTATTATATAAAAAAATTACAGAATATCTTGTTAAAATATGAGAACCGTGCACTGAATACTTCACTTGCCAATTTCTATGCTTTGTCCTTCAAATTCTGTATGATTCTTCCAGTTCACAATTCCTGTCTATTTTCTCTTCTATTCTCTTCAACTTGATCTTCCTAGTCTTCTGCTGCCAAGGTTTACACTTTCGTCTGGCTTTACATAATACTTATGTCGACAGATATAAGTAGAAAACACTACAGATTAACTTGCGATGCGTGATGTCTACTTCATAAAACTCGACAGCGTTGTAAGAAAAGTGTCGATTTTTTCAAACTTGTTCAACCCTCAATATTGTTGGAACTAAAATTTAACCAAGTTAATGTTCAGTATTTTAAGGTTTAATTATTGACATTCATAAGTTCACCATAATACAAAATAAAATAATGAAATTTGAGAAAATAATGGATTAGTTACATGTCAGTGATTCATTTAGATCTAATTGAAAGCTTGAATGTGAATATCACTCTTCTTCAGGAATGAAAGACTGGTTTATACCAGTTATTTAAAAACAAATTAACTAATCTCTATGGGTTTTATTCATTTAAAGACATAAAGGTTGGTACAAAGCGGCACCACTATATACATGCACCACACAATTCATTAAGAGCTGATATACTACCTAAGTGCCCGAAGCAATGCAATTGGTTTTTTTAGTTTGCTAATCCCCGAAGCTTTAACCTAGGGGTCTAATCCATAAGGGACTGGAAGTATGGTCCTATGGTACCCAGTGACCAAGAATCGGTACTACTTCATTCTGTAATCAGTTTCTAAATTGAAAACCTCATGAAGTTGTATATATATGTCCTACAGATACAAATCGCTCTTACTTTAATATTAATATGTTTCAACATAAATGAAATTAAATCAACACAAACAAAGTTTATTAATCATTAAAAGAAAAAAAATTGTTGACTTCATTAGATGAAGCTACGAATTAGGTTAAATAAAAGTCGCAAACCTGACAATTCAAATCCTATCAGCCAATTCACTTTCATGTGTATTAGTAACCAGTCGAATATTATTCGATAAATTATGAATGACAAGAAATCCTTAATTTATTTGACGAATTTTCTAGACGTCTTTTGAATGAAACGAAGTGCTTTACAAATTTTAAGCAAATACACTTTATAATTCTAAACAATTTTTGGTGATGTAGTGAAATTCATCTCATTTGTTAGACACATGTCCATCAATGTAACAATTGAGTAATCTTTTTAAAAAAAATACCCGATATAATGGTTATTAGTTTAACATCTAGTTACTTAGTAAGAATGTAATCATTTGTGATGACCATTAATATTAAAAATACAGTGATTGGTTCAAGTACTGTCAAAATATGCGTTCAATACATTAAGATGAATACTTTTACATCTATATACAGCATATCATCATCATCATCATCATCATCAAAATTAACGGTACGCTCACTTGATTTATAAAACATGATATGAAAAATTCGATAATTTAAAGGAAATGTATTATGGAACCGAAATAAAACTCGTCTCTGTTCGTAATCACATAAATCATTACAAAGTAACATTACATATGATCAAATAATTTATCGAAACAATAAAACTTGTAGTCTGAAAGAAAATAAAAGAAACTAGAAACTCTAATAGACAATATTTATGACCGTCAAATATTATTTTTAAAGACAGCAAAAACGAAGATTGGTGCAGAATAAAATGAATAAAGGGAACTATGTATATGAAATATCAGTTTATTCATTTTAGGGAAGTACCGGCGTTCCATAAGAAAAATGTTATTCATTTAATTAGAAGCATTTTTAAAAATAATATTTTACTTATATATATGTGTATGTATGTGAGGAATTCTTTCCGAAATAGTCACACAAACATTGGCTCTCCAAACGGTATATATATAGTCTTACAGTATACCGAACGTTTATCAAGAAAGCTAGAAGTGATTGTCAGAACTTATGAAGTAACATAAATCATGAATGATATAGTCTGAACTAGAAAATTGGAATAAGTCTATTTCCCGGATTGTCAAGATTAAATAATACATTTTCTTTTTAGATAATTAAGTTAAAAAGTTATGAAAATGATCATTTCCAGTTTATGAAATTTGACAGAATTCCTAATAAACGAAGGTTATTATTACGAAGATTTTGTATTACAGTGTCGGTAATTAATCCTAAGTTATTCCAAATGTACTCTGATAATCATAATCGTATACTGTAGTGAACGAAAACACGGGTGAGGACAACCAATACAAAATTATAGAAAAACTTAGTAAAATTTCAGAACTATATTGTAAATACTTCATTTGCAAAATGTTAATCAGTTGTCTCAGACTTGATTATTCTTCCGTTTCTAAACCAATCATTCTCTGTTCTCGTTCTCTTCTTTTCGATTTTCTTAACCATTTTCCGCCAGGCATTTCACCTTCAATTGATTATACATACTACTTATATCTATCAATATCAGTAGCACACACATGATATTATTGAGTATATTCACATAAATCTTGAAAAATGCATTCAATACCCATCAGGACTATAAATTCCAAAATTTCGGATAGATTGTTTTGCTTAAAGTGAAAACGAAAATCGTTTCCACATTAATCTCTATTACAAACACAAATGTATCATGCATAAATTTAAAATATAATATTCTACTTTGGATTATAGCGGGTCTAGTCAATGTAGGCTGTTAAGACATGTGAATTTACTGTCGTAAAAGAAGTTTACACATAGCAAAATCACACCATTATTATACTATTATATCGTCGATAATAATAGTTGGCTCTTGATACTTAATTAAACTATGAAAAAGATATATTCATTAATTATATTTTGAAGTAATAAATGTTTGGAATTTTACTGTCAAAATATTATTTTTTCCCGTTTTATTTCAGCAAAGAAAGTTCTTCGGATTTGCTGAGCAGATACAAAGCAAGAAAAATGTTAGGAGTTGGTGAATCGTCTGGTAATGTCGTTTCTTCAAAGGTAAGCATGTTAACTGTTATCATTGGTATTAAAAAATAAAAAACCTGTACAATACTGCTTACCATGAAGTGGCATTGTTTAGATAATTAGTGATTCTCATACAAAACTATAAACGTGCTTCATTTGATCAAATAAAACCTTGACAATTCTTGATCTTAACACAAAATGAGATCAGACCTGCATCACTATAGTTGGACGATTTGTACTTCGGGATGTAACCCTTGGTTCAGCACAATAATAGCCATTTTATCACTAAAACTGTAAGGTTTTCCAATTTAATCATACATCTTCACTGCAAGTATAGTGTTTTGTGCAGTTATTTAGCCTCACAAGTTTAGGCAGATCGAGAATAAAAATATTTGTAGGATAGGGTGGATTAACTGTACATCATTTTTTACTTCCACCTACATACAAGCTGATTACTGTAGCTAGTTCAAAATATTAATATGAAACTTATAAGTAATAAGTTGTTCTGAAAGTAAGCTTCTAATGATTACGATTTTATTAGTTTGAAATTGGTTTTACAAGACTGATAATCTAACAAAGACTCTGCTGTTATGAAATAAGATGGTTGTAAATTAGTCTTTCAAAAGTAATTTCTGAAAATAGTATAAAACTAAATAATGTAATCAATGAACTTCTTCAGATGGTAAACAAAGACAGATGTTCACTTTAGATAAGTAATTCAGTTGGACAGTAATTATGTATTCAAATGTCTGAATAACAGTTTATTTGTTCATGAACATAAAACTACTCACTGATCAAACAATTATATTTTTTAAGTGAGTATACAGGATATTTTCCATAATAATGTAGTGTCGGTTATTGTGTTAAGACCATATACATAATTCTTGCTTTCGCACAGGCTAATCTATTCATTCTACTTGAGTTATATTTTGACCTTATTGATTATTCCCTTATCAATATTGACTGTTTTTATATGGATGCATATGTGTGTACAATTCTTATCTCATTTATCACATGTCTGTAACTTATTTTTGTGTGACTATAAATATTGATTAACGCTTAACAAAAAGGAGTTGGCTCACATGCCATCCACACTGCGCATCGTTTCGCTTCGCTCTATTCCGTTCGCTTCATATGTAAAATATATGTATTCAAAAGTCCATTCTTATTATTTGATTTATTTAATTCCGTTATTGACTAACGCGATTTAAGTCGATGATTATATACGAGGATAGGCGATAACAAACATTCATACGATCTACTCGGAGTCAGATCTCGGACCACTATAGTGATGAGCCCATCGACAACATCGTCCGATCTAAATGACGACAAAATAACAAACGGTATTTGCTTTAGAATTCTCTTCATATTCATATTCACTTAAGAAATATTAAAACAACTAATCCCAGATTATTCATAAAGTTTTGAAAATAGTTAATATGCTTTTCATAATCATTAAATATAGTTGACCTATCATATATTTAACTAAATCGTACAATATTTCCATATCGATTACATTAACCATGATAATTGCTATGGATGATTCTATTTGAGTAATCTTTAATTAAATCAATAGTTTATTGCTAAAAATATTTTCATTACATAATGATCTCAACTTCTTTCTTAAGTTAAAGATAATATTTTTGAACTATTGTGTTTAATAAGGAAAATCAGATTAAAAATTTTTAAAAAAAATAAAGGAACGGATCATTTTTTTTAGGATCATAACACATTTAGCAATGATTTTCATTGATCTTATATCACATATATTTTTGGGTGATATTAATGATTCACTTAAAAAATAATTTTGAAATCAATTTCCACATTTCCGTTAAACATTCGATTTTTGTTGAACTTTGAACCTTTTTAGCAAATAAACTTTTTTTCTTTCATTTTTCAATATCTTGTCACAATTTACATAATTTAAAAAAATATAATTTCGATGAGACTTTAATTTATGGACGACCTTTGAACGCATCTTAAGTGACCTTGAGAAATATTAGCCAATCGGCAAACAGTAAATATAGAGTAAAAATGTTATACAAAACCAAGAAAATAAAGTGGATACACTTCTTGTCAATGTTAGAAAGAGGTTCAGAGGTTCTAAAATCATCCATATATCTACAGAATAGTCGGCCTCTGGAGCCATGATAAAATCTCAAAAACTCTTTCAGCCTCGACCACATAACTTCAATACTGTTTATATGCACTCCGGTTGTTGAGTGCACAAAATGCTACTTGCGGATAACGACACGATACACATAATCAAGCCAATGTAGGAGTCTGTACGCTCTCTAAACATCCGTATATATTGTAGTACCTGGCTGCAGCCAGTGTTACTGGTGCTTTTATTATCCAGTTCACAATAATTGTCGTAATTTGCCTTAGTTAGGAATTATATATGAGGTTTTCATCACGAACTGACATCAGCTACAATGCCAGAAGTTTATTTAGCCAAATCCGAGATCTATTATATTATACCTGATTGATTCGTCCACAAATTATAGTCTCGCCGTTTTATTTGTTATAGCCGCTCAACTATCACGTTTTGTACAAAATTCCCTGTGAACCGAACGTACGTTAGCATTAAGCACTGAAATTGGCGCCATAACCTTGAAATTTCTAGAACGCCTTTGATTGGCTCGCCCATAAATTAGAGTCTCACTGTAACTTCTTTTCTTATTTCTATTTCTTAAAATGTTGCTAATGATCTGTTTTAAAACAAAATGGAAAAAAACTACAAAATACATTTGTATTAGTTGTTTGAATCATTTCATTAATGTTTCAGACTGTAATTAAAATAATTTTAAATTTATTCCTTTGAAATGAATAGGCGAATACTAAATTGTTTGAAGAAACTATAGCTCTATCATGTTACTTACATATATTGGAGGTTTGCTATTTAGTACTTAGTGAATTTAATCATTTAGCATTGTGGTGATATTGATATTTGACGTAATAAATCAGTCTATAAGCTAAACCTAATATTTAGGAAGTGTATAAAACTATCTAGATGTTTAAATGAAGTCAATGAAATCTGCTTATAATAATGACAGTGAATATGAGAGTAGAAGAACAAGTCATTGAAATAGCTTTTTTTTCATGATCATCATAACCTTTATTCATACAAATCTCACCACTCTAGTAGACATTATGTTATACCATAGGATTTCCAAATCAAAAGCCTAAAGAATTCATCTCAAGGATAGAATTTTGCAATAATGAACAATTATATACAAACTAGAATAATGACGATAGTTTTGGAGTAATCCATTTTGATTATGTATTAGATGCATGCCCTAATCAACATTTATTTACATTATAAAATGCTGGACTCAATCAATGTAGGAATTATTCATTAATTATTTATGTCCTGTTTGTATTTCTGTCATAAATTTACGAACCATTTTAAGCAGGCAAATATATATGTGTGTAAAAATGGATTTATTTATGTTGATTGATAGTAAAATATTTCTTGTTCTTGTTTTTCTTTATGTTTTGTATGAAAACTATTAATAGTAACTGGTTAGTGCAGAAACAATTCGTTCAATTAATTAGAAATTATTCTTTTTAATGCTTAAACACTAAGTATGACAGTATTCTCTTAGTGTTTCATCGACAAACGATTATGTTCACTGTTGCATATTTATAAGTGGTTAATTATTTGAGAATTACTGTTAAATTAAAAAACCCTCACTAACCTGAAAACCTTGTAGTGCGGCGTCGAGTCGCGGTTGACTATGATCACTACTACAGGAAGACTACGTGCCACTTAACCAATAAGACCCCTTGTAGGCAAAATATCAGAAGGCAGTTGATGGCTGTAGTCGAGATGTATTTGTTGACGATCTTGTGGTATCGAAAGATTACCGAGATCGTGCCAGGTTACAAGTGTGGTTACTGAGCGTAACCGAATTCGTGCAACGTCACAATCAACGAAAGAATGTATGTATTTTTGTAGTTAAACAAACAAGTACAGTAAAACAATCTCTGGTACAATTGTTTATAATAAGAATTGTTTCCATTACACCAATCGCGTTCTCTTGATAAAAGTAGGTCACTACAGCTTAAAGTGTTGTTCCCACAAGAGTGAAATTATACCCTAAATAGCCATTTTGATGAATATCAATCTAACTAACAGATAAAGCTAATGGCTGTCTGGATTAAATTATTTTCTGTATAACATCAAATCAAAGCACTTTATCATTCACTAGATTGGTTCATGGAATTACGACATTTGGAAAATCAATCAATGAAGTATATGACAAAAGCAATACTAACGAGAAAAAAGCTTAAAGTTCTCAACAACGACCCGAATCAGTTTATCAAAACAGATTCATAATCTAAAAAAATAGTTATCAACAAAGTAATTGGGAACTTCGTAAAAACAGTGAGCTTGCTTACCCTTAGCTTTCTCTGTATATAAGAGCATTATTTCCACTGAGATTTTATCTGAAGCTAGTTATATATGTCTCACGCCATTATAACACATTACAAATTGTTGAATGAACAAACAAATAAGTGTAAAAACGAGAGCTTGGAGTGAAGTCCTTAGTGTAAGTTATCCTTTTACATTTAACACTCATTAAATGAAGGTTAAAAAGAGACTGAAAATGCCTGATACTACGCACATTTCGAAAAATGAAAACCTAACATGGTATAAATCCACGAACATGTATCCCATCTTTTAATAACAACTCAAAGTTTTTAACAAAGAACTAACACCACCTTTAAGTAAAAATAAACACAAGCAACTCATAATTGATGTTAACAGAAATGAACTAATAAAGTATAAAACGTGAGCCAAACACGATTCATTGTAATTTCATATTTTGATTTTAATATATTTTCACTATCAGGTAACATAACTTGTTTGTGTGAAATTAATAGAACATAGGAAAATATTTTTTATACGTTTAAAGTATCAAGCAACTGATAACACAATCCCTAATTTTTTATATGATTCAAACTTTTTTTCTTATCACAATTATTTTTGTAACAGAACATTAAACTAACTAAAACATGACCATTGT